CGCCGGACACACCATTAACAAACGGCGCCCCGCGCCGAACCAAAAATATAAAAAAAAATTATCCCCCCCCCCCCCCCCCCACACACACACACACACACACCTTGAATGGCAGCACAAATACTGAGAAAGAAGTGAGATTTTTATTTCTTTTCAGTCTATTAAATGCATCAACACTGAGAACTTGGCATCACAAGAGCATGTCTTTTGATGCACTTTTTTTTTGAGTTGAAGTTAAATCAGATGAAGGCTTTGAAGGATAAACAGGGGATCGTCTTATAATTCCTTAACTTACCCTTAGATTCAAACCTATTAACTCGCCCCAAGAACCTACTGCACAGTTTAATGATCCTTATGGGAGGGAAATAAATAAATGAATAAAATAAAATGCAACTGGCAGGTGAGACCTCACAAAACTCAACATCAGCCATGGAAACCCTGATCAGTGCATCTCTAATAAAAGCATGCGTCTAACGACACAATGATGACTTCAACAGCACAGTATGTCCTTAAAAACTGGGGCTTGTTAATTTTTCATCTCTTGCAGCCCTGTTGGCTGCATGAGGCTTTCGTTTTTTTAAAAACCTGAATTTGCCCAGACACACTTTTCTGGATGCATTTCAGCATCAGCTAAAAAAAAAAACAAACAAACAAAACAAAACAAACGTCTCTCAAGAGGATCAAAACTGACCTACATCTTTACAATGATAATTATAATAAACTTAAATCTGTTTCAAAATAAAAACAACAAAAAAACAGATGCGCTTAGATGCTAGGCGTGCCATCATCAGCTCACAAGTAGCCCAATCTCATCAAGCCTACAGTTTAATAATAGCCTGCTCTCTGCAATGTCAGACATTAAATTATGAATCTAATTGGCAACACTGTACCAGATCAGCTGTTAATCTAGTTTAATCACCAACCAAATAAGCAGAAGGGCCATCTTACCAGCAGCAGGGAATCAGACCAACTACATACAATAAGTTGTCATTTAAGACATGACTCCTTAAAAGACCGTGTGAAAATATGCATGTGACATTTTTGCTATTTTTTTTTAAATGGAATGGCTCGTGATTTTCGAACCCTTTCAGACAGACTAACTACTCATTAATTAGTGCAACCCCGCCATAATAAACCAGAAGAACAAGTAATTCAAAAGATGCATGCATTCTGCAACTGATACCAACTGCCTTGAGCGTCCAATGATGAGTTAATAAAACGATTAAATGCCAATAACAATAATCTGACAACCTTAAAAAAAAAAAAGAATCAGCTCACTGCTGGGCTAACTGGTGTTCCAAGTAATAATAATAATAATAATAATAACATTAATAATAAAAATCCCTGTGCGGATTACAACACATGCACAACAGTCTTGATTTAAAAAGAAAAAAAATGGGGGGGGGGAGGTGGGGAGCAATTTCCGAGTTAAATATTCTTGTGACATTTCTGCGTTGCTGCTTTGACAGATCCAGCGTCTTTCAAACATGCTGGTTGACAGCAAGGCAACTAGCCGACAGCTAACGAGGGTAGCAAGGAAGCTCACCAACCTCACGTTCCTCCGCTGACGTTTCTGGCCCCGTTTCTGCAAATAAATACAACAAAGCCCCGCCACAAAGCAATGCTAAGGAACACCGTAGAGAACATGGAAGGATACATGTTAAGTCCAAGTCGAAACCGTCCTCCTGGTATCTCCTTTTGTTCCGACTGACCATTTCTTTTATAATCGCAGCCATTGTAGCAGGTGATAAGAGAGTCTATATGGGGGGTGCAGGAGGAGGTGAAGGGGGGGGGATGTTAAAACAGGTTTATTTAGTATTCTGCGCCTGGTCGCTAACGTCGCAGTCGGTCCTCCTGGTCGCTGGCTGCTGAATTTTGCAGGTCCTCGCACGGAGCAGTGGCTGTCGGTGGGATTAGAAAGGCTTCCTCTGGACCATAAAGACGGGCCTTGCTCCGCTCCTCGGCGCAGGCCCGACTTTCCCAATCCTGCGATTCGTCGTACAAACGCTCCCGGATAAAATACATGCAGTTATCCTCGAGTGAAACTTGTAAGATTTCCGACGCGTTCCAGGCAATGAGGTTAGAGAACTCACCGGCTCTCAAAACCAGTATCCAGTCACTGAGACGTAGCCAGCTAGCGCGGCTAATTCTACCTCCTTTTTCGATCCAAAAACCTCCTAACGATTCAACATTGTCATCGACTGATTGCCAAGAACACATTTGAGAAAAAAAATAAAAAAGTGACAGGCTCCACCTCAGATGTATATAGACTATACAACGATCAGAAATCCGCCCGTACTGATTTGACAGTTTCGTCCCGGGGAATCATCTTCTTTTCTCGCTCCAGCTGAACTCTCAGGCTCCCATCATGGCCTCCAACCGAAGGAAAAAAAGAAGCTAGAGCAGGCTAGGATTTTACAACATGTACTCTGCCGCCGCCGCGATATAGTCCCAACAAGTAATTAAAACTCAGTCAGCCTAAGATCACCGAGTGTTGATTTAAATAATATTACCAGTCTCTGTTAACTAAGTATTTACATCTGCGAAATAAAAATACTGTCAAAGAGTTATTTCTTTGTGCGTCTGGCGGAAGGATAAAAGTGTGTCCTAATCGCTCCCTTCTGTCAAAATGGTCACGTGTGAGTGTAATTAGGGAAGTTTCCAACATAATGTCACTTCTTGCGGTTTTAACTGTCATTTTACACGATAGAAATATGTCATTGTAACTGATCGGTCAAACATACATCCATTGTGTTTTCACGATGTCAAACTGTTTATGTTTTTCAAATTAATTATGCCAGGAAATGAAATTTCACGTGCTTTTGAAAATATCTAAAATGCAGTTAACTGGTAAAATGTAACTTTTATAGCATTAAAGTATTACTACTACTACACACATGTTTTTTTTTTAATATGAGAACGGACTGATTTGAAATCTTGTTTCATAAAAACAAACATTTAAAAACCCTTATACCTCTTCCATGCAAGTATCTGCCCCATCGTCTTGGTAATGATCTCATCAGACACCTGGAACCGGTGCTGATCCAACTGTTACCACTAGAGGTGACCATAACGTAATGAGTACACACACACACGTATAAAAAAATATATCAACTTGGAAGTAAGAAGTATGTTAACAATTTTTCTAACAATAGTAAAATGTGATTTTCTTTCTCATTTTCCTTTTCCTCATCCCTTATTAGAAATGTCTAAAGATTTCTTTCTCTGGATTTTTTTTGTCTCTCATATCAGCAGGAGTCATTCAGATTCCTGAGTAAATTTCTTTGATCATGACTAATTCTAAGAAGCCTACCCATCCAATTCAGCATTGATTCAAATTATTGATGTATCTCTTCACTGCAACAAAAACACAGTTAAAAAATAACTTACTGTTAAGTTAACCACCCCTACTGGTAGGACTTGTGTTGATAGCACTAATCATATCAGATTACCCCTCTGAAAAAATATTTGTTTTTTATAAAAAATGGCATGTAGAAACTTAACTAATGCATAATTGTGCAGTTAATTTAAATATGTCTGAAAATAAGTAACATGTTTTTTGAAACTGAATGTAGTGTTATTGTCATCTTACTCAATACTATCAATTGCTCAGTGTTGCTACGTGGTTGCTAAGGAAGCAGGAGTGCTGGAAAGCCAATGACACAATAAGATTGGCTTCTTTGGAAAGCTTCCCTTTCTTACCAACTCTCAACTTTGATCATAGAGTTGATAACAGATATTTACATTCACTAGAAAGGCAGACACACAGTATGACTGTCATTTTCCTGTTTTGCGTCAGTTACAATTGCCAAAGTTATTTCTATTTGCTATGTGTCAGGATAATATGAAACGATCTTTAAAAGAGAAATTGCTATTGCTTTCTTCAAACTCAGAGTACACACAGATTACCTTGAGTAATTTGGTAAAAGGCCAGATGACAGTGTCGTTGGTTTTAATTCATATTGTTTGAGTTCAGTGGTGCCACACCTCTACACATAGCGCCAAGTAACACATCAAACACACTACTTCCTTGTGTAACATCTGTCAACAAGACTGGAAGATAATTTGGGATGGTTGCAAATGTACAATAAAGTTTGCCAATGCGCAAAAGGACAATGATCTTAATTCTTGAAGACACATTCTGTGGGCTCATGAAACGACGATTGATTTGTTTTGTCATCATGACCATTGTTATATTTGAAGAGGAAAAAAAAGGAGGGGGGTCGGGGGGACCTGCAAGATGAGAACATCACCAAAATGTGAGGTGGAAGGGTGGAAACATAATTTGTCTGGGTGTTTTGTTACTGAAAGGAATGGTGCACTTCATAAAAGTGCACCATTTATGAATGCACTTTTATGAAATGCATTCGTAAATGGTGAATGCACTTCACCATTTATGTAAAATAAATGGTGAAGTCTCTTGAAGCAAGTGTTTATTCGTTTATTTATTTTTTTGTGAATCCCCTTAATCTGTCAAGGCAGTGTTTTTTTCACAACAACAAAAAATGAATGCAGACTCCGCAAGACACCCATGCATCTGTCTCTTAAAGTTGCGGCTGTGTGCTGGTCGAGTTTGCAACCTTCACCAGCAGATGGAAGCATTGCACTTTTCCCCATGCACTGGTTTGAGAATTGTTTAAGCAGGAAATATTTGTGGCACCAGTTGCTCCAGTACGAATGGATCCAAAATCCACCAAACTGCTTGTGAGAAGCAACCCGAGACTTTTGACACTGGTAATACTGTTTAAAGGGCAACTGTAACAAATACTAAGAGTAAACTTAAGTATTTGAAGAGTTTAATTGTATCTGTTTGCTTTGCAAAGTTCGTTGTGATAATATGTGTTGTGATTTGTGGTCAGCATGAAACATAATCTAAAACTGGGACATAATATGAACTACTTAAATTACAAAAAAAGGTGTTCTGAAGTGCTGAATCCAGTTCACAAAGTATTGCAGATGAAATTTAACAGGTGAAAGGCGTTGACTGGATTAAATCCAACGTAAAGCTATTTAGGAGTTTGTTAAAGTGGACAGCAGCTTTCCCCTTAGCGGAAAACCCGTCTCGTAGAAATGAGCTTACCTGGCAAGTTAATTGACTGGTAAAATAATCAGTCCTTTAAGTTTGCCTAGCAGCAAGTGTTTATTTTTAAGGCGTCCGTGGCTCTCCTTAATCTGATTTAGTTAAGTCGTTTACAGTCAATGCTGTGTCTCTCACAACAATTATAAATTAGACGCAGCAAGAAATCCATGCATTTGCATCTCGACGCTAATGCGGGGAGAGTGCTGGGTGAGTTTTGAATATTACTTGACTGTGCTCTTTCCACTGTTTTATTCATGCACCATTCTTCACCAGCAGATGGCAGCATTGCAACGCCTGCAGGTCTTGAACGTGACTCACTTCGGTCTTGTACCAACAGCGTGCACTTTGTGCAGACAAACGTCACTGCGAAGCACGTTGCATAACCCGCAGCACACAGACAATTCAATACTGAGGTATGTACTTTACCTGCATGGTAAAGTAAAGTACAAAATGTTCCGTTATCGGGGATCTGTCAGTGATTCACAGAAACATTTTCGTTTTATTATTCGATGTCATGAATACACAAGTCCACTTCATAATGCCTCACAAACCTGAAACTAGAGTTAAACACCAGCAAGAATGAAAAGTTACAGTTTCTGAATGACATGACAGGAAAAAGGCACTTTTCACATTATAAAAACAGCCATACATGTTAAGACAGTTAGGCGTAGTATGCAGTGACAAAACTACATTCAGATCATAACAAATAACTTGATAAGACTCTGGTTAATGTTGCAAATCTAAAATATACTTTAAAAAAATTCCTTCAGATATGTAAATATTAAAACATAATTTCCTGTTCTTGGTACATACTTCTAAGCTTATATAAAAAAATGGAATAAAAAATAATCTCATGTTACCTTTAATTTATTAAAATATATAGCTTAAGTTAATATGCATGGATTTATAAACTGCTGTGCTTTTAATAGGGATGTAAATATCATTTAACTTTAAAACATCAAAATAAAACCAAGAATATCTAATTGCTTACAGAAATCCATCCCAGATATAATACCCCCAGAAGGAAGGAGTATACAATTTTCTATGCCCCAGATACGAATAAACTTTGTCATTTGAGCGTGGACTGAGAAGTGATCAGTTGTTCTTCTGAACAGAAGAGTAGTACTCCACCAACACCTTCCAGGCTTTGGGGGCCATGAAGCCGTCGGGCGGGTTCTCTCCGCTCCGAGCCAGGTTCCTCATCTTGGTTCCAGAGATGAACTCGAAATCTGCATGGCTGAGAAATTAAAGAACAACAGAGGGGGAAAGAAAACATGTCATTAGAAATAAGAAGTATTAGATTAGAAATAAAAGCGGAAGGATGGTTTGGCTCGACTTCAGACGAGGATTTACGGTTTCCTGCAAAGTAATTCACATCTGCTGAAGAGTTCCATATTCTGTCGTCTGACAACTATGGGCTTTTGTATGTTTGTTGAGATTTTATGTGGAGGATTTAAAATACCTGAAAACGAGCCGCACGTTTGATTTAGGAGTATTGGGACAGACATGAATCGAATCCCAATAAAATGCATTCAATTACAGCTCTCTTTGTGACAAAACGCAGAAAAGTTCAAGGAGGTATGAATTGTTTTGAGAGGCACTGTTCAATAAAGTTAAATAATCTGTCCTTGCTCACCATTCCGGGCTGTAGAAGTCCATGGCCTTCTTGGTCTTGTTGTAAGCAGCGACTCTGAAGGGGATGATCTCCACAGAGGTGAGGCCGGGGGCCATGGTGAGGACCTTTCCTCCGTGCGTGGGCTCATACATATCCTGCTTCGTCACAGGGTGAGGCATGCCGGCTGGGTCGCGGCCAACGATGTAAAAGTTTGCCCCGGCAATCATCCTGGCCCTGCAGTGCCACTGCACCTGGAAAGACATCCGGAGCGACACACTCAGCCCCGACGTGGATTCACCAGCGACTGGTAATGTAACGTCTGGCTGAACCGTTACTCCTGACCTCCGTGGGTCCAGCGTACATCATGGGCGAGGGGAAGATGGCCACAATGGTGCTGGACGGGTCCAGGACGCCCTCCTCCAGGACGGCGGCGTGCTGCCTCATCCTCCAGCTCAGAGGCACGTCGTCGTCTTTGGTCCAGCCCCCGAGAGGGTGAAGCAGGAGGACCGGGTTTTTGTATCCCCGATCGAGGAGACGCCGCTTGGTGTCCTGCATGAGGAGGGCGTGACCGTTGTGCACTGGGTTGCGCAGCTGGAACGCGAAAATTGCATCTGAGGAAAAAAACCCCCAAAACAATACATATATTTTAAGCATCGCTAAAGCATTGCTGCACAACCTGGGAGTTAATATATTTGAAGATTATTGAGCTTAT